TTGCTATGGGTTACATGCAGTTCAAACAGGTACTTAGGCAATACATTTGTTATCTAGACAGAACAACCCAAGGGGAGGGTGAGTCTTCAGTTGATTTGGAGACCACTGTGCCCTTTGGCCTATGCAGCAAGCATGTTTACAAAAGCAGAACAAAGAGCTGATTACAAGGTTAGTCATTTGAGTGGAAAATTCCTGAAATTTCTTCTTCATTCCCCCCTTTTGATGCTTATCTAAATTTTTTATAGGGCATCACCTTTTTGACTGTCTTCCTGATCTCCCTCTTGGTCTCTCTGGACCAGGGACCAATAATTTCATTGCATAAGGATCCTCACTGTAGTCTTTCTCTCCATTGTAGCTTCTGTAAGGGAGGTAATTATCCAGACTATAAGAGGCAATAGGCAAGGCAGAAGTAGGAAGGTACCAAGGAGTGGGAGTACTACTCCAATTAAGGTCTTAAAGCCCCTGAAAGTGGAGAACCAACCTCCAAAGAGGTTATTGGGGTCCCATCCATGCCATGTTTGCATGGGCACATGTGCCAGTTTTGTCATCTGTTTGACAAAACTGCCTGGTCCTGGTCATCTATCTGTATACAACAGTTGGTAAGATTGAATTTCCCACATATGCCTCCTTCTGCAACTAATAGATAATCTAGTGCCAACATGTTTTGGTAGATGGCATTTCTCATCTGAATCTGTTGATGTGCAAGAGAGTTAGGGCTCTCCCAGTATCATTAGCAATGATCTCTAAAACTGCCTGCAATCGGATAATTTGACTTAACATGTAAATGGGGGTACAGTATCCCCAAGTTCTATCTTTTGCCCAAGGGGCAGGCCTATAGTATTGGATTACTCATTCTGGGAGCTATTCATTATCCTTTTTGTCCCTTATTTGAAGTTCCCTTTTACCTGCTGTAATATAGACAGGATCTCGCTATGTTGCCCATGATGGAGTGCAGTGACTATTCATAAGTGCTATCTTAATACTGAGTGAAAAATTCCTGAAATTTCCTCTTTAGTAGGGATGAGAATTGTTTGTTTCTTTTCTGGGCCAAGTTGGCGTTGTCCTGTGACAGGTGGAAGCTGAGGCATTTGACTCTTTCTTAGCAGATTTGAGCCTTCTTTTTAGAGACCCTGTAACCCACTTCCCAGAGGAGATTGAAGAGTAGATGTGTTCCTTCCATGCATTCCTCATCAGTTTCTCCTGCTAAGAGGCAGTCATCTACATACTGGAGTAATGTACAACTGTGTTGGTTTGCTGAGAAGGCCTTTAATTCTGAGGCTAGAGCTGTCCTAAAGATGGTCGGGGAGTTTTTGAACTCCTAAGGCAATTGTGTCCATGTCAACTGGCCCTTGTCTCCACTTTCAGGGCTTTCCCATTGGAAAACAAAGATCGGTTGACTGAGGAGCCAGACGAATGCAGAAGAAGGCATCCTTGAGGTCCAGACTAGTGAAATAAGTTGCCTCAGTGGGGATGAGGCCTAGGAGGGTATATAGGTTGGGGACAACAGGGTGCAGGGTGACAGTCACCTGGTTGACTGCTTTTAAATCTTAGACCAGCTGGTATTCATTCATCCCTGACTTCTGAACCAGCAGGAGAGGTGTATTCCAGGATGACTGGCAGGGACGAAGAATTCCATAGTTCAGAAGTCTCTCTAAATATTTTTGGATCCCCACTTGTGCCTTACGGGGGATGAAATACTCTTTTTGGCGGGCTGGCTCAGCTCCTGGTTTTAACTCTACTGCCCCTGGAGGAATGTGTCAGGCCAGTCCTGAAGGATTGTCTTCAGCCCATACTCCGGGAACCTTGAAAGGGAGCTCGGTTATCTGTTGGGACCCTTCTATGGGACTATAGAGACACCATTCTTTTCCTTGGGGAACTGTGAGTGACATGATCTTTGCTTCTGGCCTTCCCAAGTTTAGAGCTGCTTGGCCACGTGTGTCACAGGTAATTTGAGCCTGTAGTTCTCCTAAAAGACCTTGTCTCATCAGTGTCACAGGGAAGTCAGGCAGATATAGGAATTCGTGGACGACTTCTTGTTCTCCTAGGTTGAACCAGTGGGGCTGCAAGAAGGGGCAATGGACTTGTCCCCCGGTTGCTTCCATAATGGTAGCTTGTCTTTAAGAAAGGGGGCCCAGAAGCCAAGTTACAACTGACTCTGGTGTCAACCACCAAGTCAATAGGTTGGCCCCCTGACTATCATTTGGACCATAGGCTCCTGGGGGCCTGGTAGAATGGAGCCTGGTCTGGCCTAGTGCTGGCAACACAGGCTTCTTTTCTGTCACCTGACCTTGGGAGGATGCCAAAGCATGGGCTAGGAGAACCCTACAGTTCTCCTATAAACAGACTCTCAACCAAGAGGGTCGGGTGCAAACTATTGCCTCCCAAGAATCAATGTAAGGGAATTGGTCGAATTGGTCTGGGTGGCCAGGTTGACCTGTAATGACTTGAGAGATCTTTGTAATGACTTCCTTATCGAGAGCTCTCTCTGCTGGCCACCAAATGCCAAAGGCGAGCCAGTGGATCTCACAAAAGGTGTAGAGTTTCTGTGGAATGAGTTTAACTCCATAATCTCTTGAATAACCTTTTTTGAAATTCTTAAGCATACAACCTGAAAGTTTCTGTTTACTCTGTTGTCCACCCGTGGTCAACTGTAGGGTTCTCCTAGCCTGTGCCTTGACATCCTCCCAAGGTCTGAGTTGCACATGCACTCAGAGATTCGCTTTGCCCATCTCTGGCCACTTCCTTCACGAGAATCTTTCAGGCACCTCTTGGCAATGGATGGATCAGTATAGCCCCTGACTTGGATCACTGGAGTAGACACCTCACAGAGATCCAGTGACACCACCCTAAGCCGTATGAGGTTCACCATGGAACCGCGGATAGGGGCTCAGCTCTTGCTTTGTAGAAAGGTCACATCTCAATCACACGCAATCACACACTAAACACATTCTGCCCTCTGCCCTATGTACCTGAGAGGTCACAGTTTCCTCTAACAAATGTAGAGTACTCAGATGACCTCGGGAGTTGATCAGACTCGCCCTCTGTCCTCTAGTGGACAGGCTGTTCCGGGTTCTTACCACACAGTCAGGCGGTGCTCCTGGGCTAGTTCCTGTGTTTCTCTGGGTTCCATTGTGCTCTTGGAGCCACCGCACCGGTGCGCTGCATGAGTCATCTTCCTATACAGACAATAGGTCTGCTGGCGCATGAAGCGAAGTCCACTTCTCCCAGCGTCTTAGAGGCTAGACCCTGAAGACAAGGGAGGCGAAAAACTGCTGTCTTCGGATCCCAGACAAGCCCTAGAAACGTTACGAGATTCTCTAACAGAGAGATGAGACACTTAGGCTATAAACAAGAAGCAGCGTTTATTGATGCCCATACTGGCTCAGAGGATTCTTATCCAAAGGCTGAGCCCTGATTGTAACATAGAGGGCAGTTTTATACAATCTTGTACTTCTGCATTCCTACATAGCTATAGATATTCCAGGTAAGGAAAGAGAACATAAGGAGAACATTGATTGGCTGCCAAACTATAAGGAACCCAGCTTTATCGTTTAAGCGGGTTTTCACACTGCTGGGTCAGTCAGAGAGTCCTAGGAAAGGGGTACAGTTAGAAACTAACTCATTTGAGTAGGAAATGGTCAGGCAGGGTCAGGCTGCCACACTTCGTTCAAGACATCAAGAACCTAGACAACACTCTGGGAGAGGATCCCCACTCTCCTGTAACAGTAAGAGATTAATCAGTTCCAAACCAGACATGGATGACAGCAAACCCCCCACCCCATACCTGGTTCACAGTATCTCTCATGTGTGACACTGACCCCCTACGCCCCGGCTCGGTTCACAGCCATCACACCTCTCCAGTGGTTGTGGCCACATATCAGAAGGCTCAAGGAGAATTCTTACCTGATGTTGGGAGCTGAATTTAGATCACCTCTAAAATAATGATTTCCTCATGCTGTCATCAGTCACACCTAGAGAACTTCTTCAAAATAGAGGTGCCTGGACTCTCTACGCCTGAAATTTTTGATGCAAGAAACCTAAGAAGTTCTTAGAAATTTGCATCTTAGAAGTTCTGATGCAAAACCAAGTTTTGGAAATACTGCTGTTAGTAACTTTCAATTGCTTCAACTTTGTTCATGGAGCTTTTTTTTTGTAGGGAGGATGTATTTCAGACTGTTCCCTTTAAAGAGGGATATTTACACCTGATTAAAGTGACCTGCTAAGGAGAACAAAGTCATGTATTCTGTCCCAATGTCTTTCATTTGCTCTGTTCTTCCCAAAGGCTTAGATCCCTAACTCTCAACAATTATCTTACAAACGTCTTGGCTCTGAAACAAGACAAAGGGAAAAGTTCAAATTGATGCAGGACAAGACATCCCGAGTTGGTAGGGGAAGACCAAGTCCTGCAACGAGAGAAGAGGGTCCTTTGGCAGAGAATGTGGAAAGAATTCAACACATACGCCAAAGTTGGAGTTAAAAGGGAAGTTTATTAGAAAAGGGATAACACTCCACAGAGTGTGGTCTCCTCTCAGAGACAGAGTGGGACAGTGAGAGACAGAGGGAAGGCACTGAGAGGGACTCAGAATGTTCAGGGAATTCAATTTATATGTCATTCTTTAGTTCCCATTTCCTTTGATATGCACATACAGTGAGGAAGGGGAAGAGTATGTAGCATGAAAAAGTAAGAATATATAAAGTAAAAGGCTGCTAGCAGTTCTGTCTTTAATCCTTAGGTTTCCCATGGTTTTAGCCATAGAGAATGACTCTTGGTTCCTGTTTCCCCTTCACAGGTGTGGGGAATGAGTTGTTAGTAATCCAGCAGAAATCTTTCTTTGTTCTGAAGGTGTCCTCCTGGCCTGCCTGCAGGGCTGGTCAGCAGATTGTAGTCTCTGATTGTGGCTTGATTAACATTTTAATTCTCTTGCCTCCTCCCTGCATTAATTGCACACTGTCATCTGTATCACCTAAAAATTCCTCCCCCTAGGCTTCCAGAAGCTTCCTTATCGCTCTCTCACCCCGGAAGCTTCCTTATCTCTCCCTTCACATCTTTGTTCCTCAAAGTGTAGATGAGGGAGTTGATGCTGGGAGTGACGATGGTATAAAAGAAGGTGAGGAACTTACCCTGGTCCTAGGAGTAGCTGCTGGCCAGCTGCATGTAGATGATGGTCCCATAGAAGAGGGAGACCATTGCTAGGTGAGAGGAGCAGGTGCTGAAAGTCTTCTTGAGTGCTGCTGCTGACTTGATCCTCAGTACAGCAGCGGTCATCATGCTGTAGGAGATGAGGATCAGGCCGAGGGGCAGGAGGAGCAGGGCATCCCCCAGGACAAAGGCAAATGCTTCCACCAGCACAGTGTCTTCACAGGATATGGTGATGAGAACCGCATCTCACACAGGAAGTGGTCCACCCTGCAACACCCACATTGGGAAAGCTGCATTGTCTGGGGACACATGACAAAGGAGGTTAGACAGCCACAGCACCAAGCCATGGCCACCAGCTGTAGGCAGAGACATGGATGCATGACCACAGTGTAGTGCAGGGGCTGGCAGACGGCCACATAGCGGTCATTGTTTGGCGCAGACACTGGCACTTGCTATATACAAAGCAGTGTGCCTGACACTCCTGAGAGGCAGAGAGCAAGTTGACTCAGGAGTTAACCCTCTGTGGTGAATAGTGCAGGTAAATCATGACAACAAAGAAGACTATGATAGCTCTGTAAAAGAAGATCTGTTAAAAAGCTGCGCATTTTGCAAAGTATTCCCAATTTAAGAGCTTATATTGTTGCAAGAAGTGGCATTCAAGAGAGAAACTTGGACACTCAGACAACTTTGTCAGAGGAAGGAGAATTTATTAGCCAGTGGAGCACGTGGGGCTTAACAGCACCAAAGCACGAGCTCGCCCTGGTTAGATTTCTTACAGTTTATATACCTTTGCAATGTCCATGCAAGGGGCGTGTGATTCCTTCCTCTGAGATTTTAGTGCACCTCATGACTCAGGATGGGCAAGGGGAGTTTCAGGTGGGGGCTGCAAGAGGGAAGGAATTCCAAGACCACTGGTCCTATCTATTTACAGGTTGTTTATCTTGTAGATGGTGCAAGAGTTTCCAGAAGGCCATTTAGAGATCTATAGGGTGTGGTTAATCTAAAACCGGCTGAGTTGGTCATTTCTGCAAGCCCTTCCTTTTGCATTTTTCAAATGCTTCCTGTCTTATTCCACCCTTTGAGACTCTAGACATTCTATTTTTATGCTGGAATCTCAGATTCTCTATCTAAACCATCCTGGGGGATTTCCTGATAATGGCTGGTAAAGTATATGTGGGCTGCAGCTTGCTGCTGTACTGTGGCTTCCACCATGCTTTTAAAGCTTTTTATTAGCAGGGCAGCAGACATGACCCTATTAGGCAGATTCCTAGGAGTAATAAAACTGCTCCTATCAAGGTTTTAAACGTACTGAAGGCTGAAAACTATCCCCTAAAAAGGCTACTGGGGTTCTATCCATGCTATACTTGTACAGGCATATGTGCCAGTTTTGTCATCTTCTTGACAAGTCCTCAACTGCCCGGCCCTAGTCACCTATTTGTAGGCAACAGTTGGTGAGACTGAATTTTCTACACATGACTTCTTCTGCTAATAGATAGTCTAGTGCCAACCTGTTTTGGTAGATGGCATTTCTCATCTGAGTTTGTTGATGTGCAAGGAGAGTCAGGGCTCTCTTAGTCTTGTTGGTAATGATTTCTAAGACTGCATGCAGTGGGATAATCCTGTTTTAACATGTAAATAGGGGTACGTTATCCCCAAGATCCATCTTCTGCCCAAGTAGCAGACCCATATCATTGGATTATCCATTCTGGGTGCCATTCATCATCCTCCCAGTCCCCTATTTGGCGTTCTCTTTTTACCCATTGTAAGGGTTGCAGGGCCAGGTAACCAAACAGTTCCCCTGTTTTCAGAGGTAAGAGGAAGAAGGATGACTTTATCATGCCAATTATACAGCTCCCTTATCAATTTCTGGGGAGGCAGATGTAGGCCTTGTTTCTACAAATCTAGTAAAGCCTACATGGGGCTATCCAGTCTCAGACCCACTTCTAGGATAGGATAATCTCAGTGTCTTTTCAGGCAGACTCAGAAACCCCCTAACTAATTTTCCTGCCTAACTTTTTTCTAAGAGCCATGAATCCCCTTATTTTTA